TTCTTGACCCATTCTGCCAGTCCATTTCTTTTGATTGGTGAATTGAGACCATTAACATTGATGGTTATAACTGATATGTATTGACTTATCCTTGTCATGACTTTTTCTTTTTGTTGGATTCTCCCCGTTTGCATTTAATTTCTTGTCATGCACAAAGGATTCACTTTGCTGGGCTTCCTGGGGTTGTGATGCTCATTGTATTTTCCTAGGATATTGTCTAAAATTTTTTGGTGTTCTGGTTTGGTATTCATGAATTTCCTAAGGTGCTCTTTGTCATGAAAGTATCTTATTTCTCTATCAATTTTGAAAGATATTTTTGCAGGGTACATCAATCTGGGTTGGAGGCCGTTTTCCTTTAGGCCTTGGAATACATCACTGTAAGCTCTTCTCTCCTTGAGTGTTTGCGTTGAGAAGTTTGCTGTGATTTTGATGGGGTTTCCTTTGTATGTGATTTGTTTCTTTTCTCTAACTGCTTGTATAATTTTGTTCTTCAGTTGGGTTTCTGGAATCTTGATAGTTATATGCCTCTGTGTAGATATTTTTTGATCAAGGCTAGTTGGAGTCTTATATGTCTCATTATGTGTATGTGAAGTTCTTTTTCCCCGCTTGGGAAGTTTTCTGCCATCACTTCTGTGAGCAGTTTTTTTATGTCATCTGCACTGTTTCCTGTTTCTTCATTTACTCTGATCAGTGTTATGTTATTCTTCTTTGCATAGTCTAGCAGCTGCTGGATTGATTTCTCGTGGTCCCTTACAATTTTAAAGCAGTTTTTCTTTCCCTGGTCACTAAATGCAATCTTATCGTCTATATCTGAAATTCTGTCTTCACATTGGCTCATTCTGCTGCATAGACTTTCTATGGAGTTTTTAATCTCCTGGAATTCTGTTTGCATCTGTTTTATGGATTCCAATTGTTTCCTCTGTTGGGATTCCATCATGTTCCTCAGCTCCTCTATTTTTTAATCTGTGTCCATTCTAGTTTATTAATCATGTCTTGCACTATGGGCACAATCTCTGCTGTTATGTGAGAAATTATTTCTGATTTCACTTTTTCCAGATCCTCTTTTGTTGCCAGTTCAGGGAGTCCAGGTTGTTGAGTATCAGAGTGTTCCATCTCGTTTCTCTTTGGGGTTGCTGTAGGTGATCTGGAAGTTGGGTTTTGAGGCTTGTTTATGTGTCTTCTCATTTTGGGGTGGGGGGGAATTGCTGCTGGCACTCCCGTGAGGCTCACACCCTCTGCACTGGAAGAGATGCTATGGCAGCCTAGCAGCCTCCTCCTCTGTGCTGGGAGTGGTGCTATCTGCTTCTCCACTTCTTGTGCAGGACTTAGCCATTGCTTTGTGCCTGATTTGTATTTGCAGGTTTTCTGATCTGCCCTGGGCCCGGAGAAAACTGGGTGGTTTTTGGGCAGATAGGGCTACAGATGGCATTGGGCTGATGCGAGCTGATGGGAAAGGATTGGAAATGGTGGTCTAGCATATTTGTTGCTCCCTCTAGCCACCATTTTTGAGTGAATTCTGGCCCTACCCCAGCTTCTTGCATTACAAATTATTATAGTATTGCACAGGTCAGGTTTGGAGACAAAATCCATCATTTGACAGCCTGGCTTCTAAAAGAAAGTGCCAAATAATTCTCCCACCAGACTCAGATATTCTGGGCCCGATCTCAGCTGAAACGTGCCTTTTCTGTTTGGTCAGCCTGAGTTAAACGACTCTGGGCACTTTTTACTTTCATGAGAAGGAAAAAAATAAACGTTTTCAACTTTAAAAATAAATGGAAGCCATTCATTTTAACTCCGAATGCTGTGTGACCTTTCAAAGAGCTGTGGCCCAAGTGGGTTATTTCCTCAAAGGGGCAATCTGCAGGATCTCTGTCAAGTAATGTCAAGGGCAAAAATGTTAAGTGATGGAAGAAGAAAAAATATCTATAAGACAAGTAAACCTCGGAGCCAATTATTCTCCTTGATTTCCCATAAGTCACCCTCTGCCTGGGTTTCAGCATTGTTGGGAATGTTTTATATCATGATAGTATCCAGATTCATTTGAATGAACACACAGAATGACTTGATTTAGAAGGAGTGATCATTTGAAAAACAAGTTTCTGCAGAAAAGAGATAACTCGATAGCTGCCTGGCAAGACAGCTTTGGATTGTACCTTGCAAAAACAACTCCAAATGGCACTTTTCCCTAGGTGGATGCCTTAGGGAATCAGCCCACCAGGCTTTGGAAATGGATCATTATGCAAATTCATAAAATACAACTAGATCTTTTCACCTTGGGATGTTTATAATTCTTTCCCTTGGAAATAAGATCCTTTAAGGGAAACCTCCATGGTCATGCTCTGTGAAGAGTAAGATCATAAATGTGCTGCTAGGCAAAAGAAAATATGAAACACTGGATTATGTAGAGAAATTATAACTCAATTTCGTGGCTGAGGTATTATGGATTCTTTCGAGGGCCATATTTCTTTGGGCTTTATTATAGTTTTGCATGGGTATTGCTATTTTCTCTACTCCTGCTGGCCCAGTGGTTGGTGAAGGGCCTGTGGTCAGAGCAAGGGCTGTTTCCTGACCTCTGAGGGCCAAGGCACCTCAACCACTGGATGGGACAGACAAGCACATGGATGACTCACACACGGAGTGAAAATTCTTCATGGCCCAAGGCCTGAATGCCATGGAAGACTCCCACATTCTGCACATACTAATTGAGTGTCCTCTACAAGCTGGTCACAATACACTTACCATTTCATTTTAATTTCAAATGCATCTCCCAATATTATTAAGTTGGACTCCACTAAGATCAACACACCAAAAATGGCTTTCACAAGTCACTTTTGTCTTTATTGGCATCATTTAGGAGAAATTCTGACTGCCTGGGGAATCAAAGCAAGT